AAAAAAGAAATCGAACCAGAAAACGAAATCAGGAAAAAGGAAATTGAACCCAGAAAAAACGAACAAAAAACGAACCTAGAAAAACGAAATTGAACCAAAAAACGAAATAAAAAAAAAACGAAATCGAAATTGAAAAATAAACCCAGAAATCGAATAAACAAAAAAAAAAAACTAACCCAAAAAAATGAAATCAAACCCAAATAAAAACCCAGATTTCGAACAAAAATTATCTAAATAACAAGCAAAAAAAACGAAAAACGAAAACAAGATTAAAAAACGATCTGAAAAAAAAAAAAACAACCTATCTTAAAACGATTAAAAATACGAAAAATGATCTTTAAAAACCCAGAAATTGAACCTAGAACTAAAAAAAAACCCAGAAATCAAACAAAAAACGAACTCAAGAAAGAGGAAATTGAACCCAGAAAAAACGAACAAAAAACGAACCCAGAAAAATGAAATTGAACCAAAAAACGAAATCGAAAATGAAAAATAAACCCAAAAATCGAATAAACAAAAAAAAAACCCAAAAAAACGAAATCAAACCCAATTAAAAACCCAGATTTCGAACAAAAATGATCTAAATAACAAGAAAAAAAAAAGAAAAAACGTAACAAAATCTGAAAAACGAAAAAAAAAATCGATCTTAAAACAATTAAAAAACAAAAACGATCTAAGAATGATCTAAAAAAAAACCCAGAATGAAGGAGTTAAGGAGAGAGAGAGGGTAGACGAGAGAGATTATAAATGAGAGGCGAGAGAGCTAGGGTTTGATATATAAATAGAATGAGGGGAGCTGAGACAGTGAGTTTTCAAAAGCCAAAGAAAAAAAGCCCAAAAGGGTCTAATACAACGGTTTCTTCAATCCGTTGTATTAGACTCCTCAATCCATTGTATTAGCTGAGCTAATACAATGGATGAATTTATCTAATACAACGGTTAGTATAAACCGTTGTATTAGACCTATTTTAGCATAAACCGTTGTATTAGACTACATCTAATACAACGGTATGAAATTAGCCGTTGTATTAGCTAATTTTGTACCGTTGTATTAGGTTAAAAATGTAGTAGTGTAGTGGGGGGGCATTAGTAGATAAAACACCGAAGTTAATTTCTAATATGGCTCAAAATACTCAACAATTTGGCACTAGAAATGATGTTAAAAGAGTTAATGATGTGGAATTAAGTGGAATTAAAAATCAATTACAAGAAAATGCTCAACAAATTGCTACCCTGACCACCTTAGTGTCTAAAATTGTTCCTGGTAATGAGTCTACAGCTAGAGTATGTGGTGTTTGTTTTGATATTTCTCATGCTACTGATGAATGTCCTACTCTATAGAGTGAAGATGTCAATGCCTTAAATAATTTTCCTAGTCAATCTCAGAGGAAATATAACCCTTTTTCTAATACTTATAATGAAGTTTGGCGTGATCATCCTAACCTTAGGTATGGACCTAAAACACTATTTTCTCAATCTAATCAAACTAGGCCATTGTTCAACAAAATTCGTAACAGCAATATGGTTCATCATTATAGGACTTAGTGAAACAATTGACTACCCAAATTAGACAAGTTCATAGTCAAGGTGTCCAATATCAAAAGAAAACTGACGCTCACCTACATCACATAGGTACTCAAATAGGTCAAATTAGCACTTCTCTTAGTAATTTGGAATCTCAACTTTCGAATAGGCTCCCTTCTCAAACACTTGCCAATCCAAATGAACATGCTAAAGCTGTAACACTTAGGAGTGGCAAAGAGTTAAGGGAACCTAAAATAAGGAATAGAGAAGTAGAGAAAGAGGTAGAAGTCGGACCTAAGGATGTAGTTTGTGAAAGTAAGGAAAAACATGATAAAGGGAGTGAGAAAGAGCCTGTAGGGAAGGGTAATTCTGATGTGAACTTTGAAAGAAGCCCTTGAGAATGAAATGCTTGAAACATTTAGGAAGGTTGAAGTGAATATCCCTATTCTTGATGCTATTAAACAGATACCTAGGTATGCTAAGTTTATAAAAGAGCTCTGTACCAACAAAAGGAACTTCAAGCCTTGTGAAAAGGTAAGTATGGATGAGAACATATCTGTTGGGATTCAAAAGAAACTTTCCCCTAAATGTAAGGATCCTGGCATGTTTTCTATCCCATGTAAAATTGGTTATTCTATTTTTGAAAGATGCATGCTAGACTTAGGTGCTTCAATCAATGTCATGCCTAAGTCTATTTATGACACTTTGAATGTGGGTCCTTTGTCACAGACTAATGTAGTAATACAATTAGCTGATAGATGTAATGCATTTCATATGGGAGTTTTGGAAGATATACTTGTTCAAGTGAATGAACTAGTTTTTCCTGCTGATTTTTATGTGCTTGATATGGGTGATAAATCTGATAGTGTTCCTTTATTGTTGGGTCGACCTTTTCTAAAGACTTCCATAACTAAAATTGATGTTCATGAAGGTAATTTGACAATGGAATTTGATGGCAAAAATGATTAAATTCAACATATTTGATGCTATGAAATACCCTAATGATATCAGTAATGTTAATTCTATAGATTCATATGATGCATGTGATTGGATGGCTCAGGATGTTTTTGATGAGTGGTGTGAAAATTTGTTTGAAATGGGTGTGTTTGGTGATTTTAAGAAAACAAAAATGGTTGATTCTTTTTAGTTTCGTCTGATGTGATTGAACATGATGCTTCTGATGGATGCGAAAAGTCTTTACCTTCTGTTGTGCCTAAATTGATTCCTTCTATTGTTAAGCCAATTTGAAGTATGATTATTTGGGTGATAATGAGACTCTACCTGTGATTATTTCAAGTTCTTCAAATGAATCTCAAGAGACCAGGTTATTGAATTTGCTTAAAAATCACAAGGAAGCCTTAGGATGGACTTTAGCTAACATAAAAGGCATTAGTCCCGCCATGTGCATGCATAAAATTTTTCTTGAAAAAGACGCTAAACCAACTAGAGAAGCTCAACGGAGATTAAATCCTTCAATGATGGAAGTAGTTAAAAAGGAAATTCTAAAATGGTTAGATGCAGGAGTGATATATCCTATTTTCGATTCTCAATGGGTAAGAACTATACATGTGGTACCTAAAAAGAGTGGAATAACTGTTGATGAAAATAATAAGGGAGAAAAGACCATTTCCCTCTTCCATTTATTGATCAGATGTTAGAAAAACTTGCTGGATAATCTTTCTTCTGTTTTCTGGATGGTTATTCAGGTTACACACAAGTACCCATTGTCCCTGAAGATCAAGATAAAACCACTTTTACCTGTCCTTTTGGTATATTTGCTTTTAGAAGAATGCCTTTTGGTTTATGTAATGCTCCGGGAACTTTTCAGAGATGTATGATGAGCATATTTTCTGATTTGATTGAACAAGATATGGAAGTATTTATGGATGACTTTACTGTTTTTGGTGATTCATTTGATAGATGTTTTCATGCTTTAACTCGTGTTCTGAAGAGATGTGTTGAAACTAACCTTGTTTTGAATTTTGAAAGTGTCATTTCATGGTAGAACAAGGTGTGGTTCTTGGTCATATTGTAAGCGCTAAAGGTTTAGAGGTAGATAAAGCTAAAATTGAGGTAATACGTTCTTTGTTATCCTAAATGTGTTCGCGAAGTTAGATCATTTTTAGGACATGCTGGTTTTTATAGGCGCTTTATAAAGAATTTTTTAAAAATTGCTTCACCTTAGTGTGCTTTGCTTGCTAAAGATGCTGTTTTTGACTTTAATGATGAATGTAAGAAAGCTTTTGATGATTTAAAAGCCAAGCTGATAAGTGCTTTTGTAATTAGACCTCCTGATTGGTCGTTACCTTTTGAAATAATGTGCGATGCTAGTGATAAAACCATAGGAGTTGTTTTAGGTCAAAGAAGGGTAAAGAGTCTTATGTGATACATTATGCTTCTAAATCACTTGATCCTGCCCAATGCAATTACACTGTGACTGAAAAAGAAATGTATGCTGTGATATTTGCTTTGGAAAAGTTTAGATCTTATTTGCTTGGTACTCATGTGATTGTTTATTCAAATCGTGCGGCTCTTAAATACTTGATAAAGAAGAGTCACTCAACACCTAAGTTGCTTAGGTGGATGCTTCAGTTACAAGAGTTTGATCTAGATATTAGGGATAAAAAAGGTGTTGAAAATCAAGTTGCTAACCATTTGAGTAGGTTTGTCCCTAGAGAAGATTGGCCTATGATAAGTGATTTTTTCCCCGATGAACAATTGCTTTCTTTATATCATGTTGAAACTCCTTGGTATGCCAATATGGTTAATTACTTAGTAACTAGGACGTTTCCCCCTTTTCTAACTAAGGCCCAAAGAGAAAAGATAAAGTCTGAATCTAAATACTACATATGGGATGATCCTTATTTGAGGAAATCTTGTTCAGACCAAGTAATTAGAAGGTGTGTAGATAAACCTGAATATGATTCTATACAAACATTTTGCCATAGTCTCGAAAGTGGAGGGCACTTCGGTCCTCAAAGGACTGCTCATAAAGTCTTAGAATGTGGTTTCTATTGGCCTACTATTTATAAGGATGCTTATTTCTTTTGTAAGGCTTGTGAACACTGCTAGAAATCTTGAAATCTGTCTAAAAGGAATGATATGCCCCAATCTAGAATTCTAATTTGTGAAATATTTGATGTGTGGGGCATTGATTTTATGGGTCCCTTTCCCTCTTCTTTTGGTAAAGTTTATATCATTCTTGCTGTTGATTATGTGTCTAAATGGGTAGAGGGGAAAGCTGTAATAACCGATGATGCTAAAACGGTAGTTAAGTTTGTTAAGAGTCATATATTTAATAGATTTGGCATGCCTAAGGCCATCATTAGTGACAGAGGAACCCATTTTTGCAATAAACGTTTAGTGCTCTTCTTGAAAAATACCACGTGACTCACAGAGTAGCCACTGCATACCATCTCCAAACTAGTGGACAAGTTGAATTGTCGAATAAGGAGATATAGGGTATTTTGGAAAAAATGGTTAACCCAAGTAAAAAGGATTGGAGCCTTCGTTTAGGTGATGCCTTATTGGCATATAGAACTGCATATAAAACTCCTTTAGGAATGTCTCCATTTAGACTTGTTTTTGGAAATGCGTGTCACTTACCTGTGGAAATCGAGCATAAGTCTTATTGGGCAATGAAGCAATGTAATTTAGACTATGATCTTTCTGGAAAAGAAAGGAAATTACAGTTACTTGAGTTGGAAGAATTGAGGTTAGAGCCATATGAAAATGCCAAAATCTATAAAGACAAGACCAAAGCCTTCCATGATAAAAACATAGCTAGGAAATCGTTTCAGGTTGGACAGAAAGTTCTTTTATTTAACACTTGCTTGAAATTATTTCCAGGAAAATTACAAACTAGATGGCTTGGCCCCTTTGTTGTTACTAATGTTTTTCCTCATGGTGCAGTTGAAATCAAAGATTACAATACTAACAAAACTTTCAAGGTTAATGGTCACAGGTTAAAACCATTTTATGATCAAGCTTATGTGACTATGATTGAAGAAATTTTATTTGAACAATCATGAAGAGAGAAATGTCGAGCCAACGACGTAAACCAAATGCGCTACTTGGGAGGCAACCCAAGGATATTATGCTCTTTTCCTTGTTCATTTCTTTTGATTTCAGTTTTATTATTATTATTATTATTTTCTCTCTTTCTTTCTTTCTTGTGTTTCCTTTCTTTTCTGCAATTTTATTTGTTTCATTGTTGGGGCACCATGAGATAAACTTACTGGATTTAATTTGTGCATTCCTGCAGCAGCGTCACTATGGTCGGTTTAATCTTACAAGTACACTACTTTATACCTTTAACTCCAGAATTCCGGTCATGAGAATTGAGGAGGATAAAAAATTCAGCAATCAGAAAAGAACTCTGAGTGTAACCGTGTACAAGCAACGGAATGAAGAGTTCCACACGCTGAAAAGTTGAGTGCTACGCAATGTGCGGCAACATCACAAACATTCTGAAATCTCATAATCTACTAAACCAGCTAAGTTTCTTCTGCTTTTTCTTCATTTCTTTTTCATTGAGGACAATGAAAGATTAAGTGTTGAGGAAGCAAAATATTGGTTATTTGCTGTGTGGCTTTGAGTTGTTTTGTTTTTGTTTTTGAAGACGACTTTATGTCAGGCAGTAGTCAATTTACTGCGGAGGTGCTGCCGAATTTTTTTTTTTAGATGTTAGAAATTTTGAACTAATAGCAATAAAGTACAGGAAAAAAAAATTTGTTTGTTTTCTCCAATCTTCTTAATAACTTACACTCTGGGCTTGTGTCGTATCTCCCTCAAATTGCAACTTATCCATGTTTTGAAAATGATTTAGGCATTTAAAACAATGCATATGACACATCAACCAAAAAGCTTATCCCTGTTATTTTCCATGAATGAATCACAAATATACCTCTACTTACAAATCAAATGATTAACTTTTCTGAAACTAGTAGGGCATATAAAAGTGTGATGTAAAAATGGTTGTTGGTATTCAATGGTGGTATAGTATTATAAAGTTAAAGTTTCAATGTCAAAGGCTCTACGTACCAATCTATAGGTATAAGTGTTTAAACCAAAAAATAAAAAGGGAGAAAAAAATTCAAACCCAGTTATGTACATGTGATGTATCTATCTCTTGCTTGAGTAGTTCGAGTAAGTAGACCCTTAGGGGTATCTTAAAAGCCTAGTGCCTTGGACCAACTGGACCGGGAGTCACTGGTTGAACACTCGATACATGGACTATTTGACGGAGATTGAACATTAAGAGTCATAAAACTAATTTAAAAAAATAAGTGGTGTACATAAAGTTCAGGTTGCACATGAGGAATATCTGTTATTATTTGGTTGTAATCGTACTGTACTCTACTAGTTTCAGAAACGTTACCACTGCATTCCCATAAATTATTGTCATATCCTTCTTTTACCTTAACCCCATGATATCCTTGAAAAGTCCTAATGATTTGAGACATGTGGATTGGTATAAGTAAGGAGGGTGAGAAATGATTAAAGTCAATCGAGCAAGTTGTCAAGTTAAATTGGGGAAACTTCTATAAAAATGAGTTTTGAAAATTTTTTACTGCTATTTAGTAGAAACTTTATGAATAACAGACTTTGTGGGTATGTCTACTGCAAACTCTCACGAGACCGTACTCGTCCTCTAGGGGGGACTTAGGGGTTTAAAGGGCTTGTTGCACGTGCTAAGTGTAACTGTGATTCCTACGACAATGAGTTAGGTTTATTGCTTTTATAGGTTAGTTTTATTTAGTTTGTTCGAAGGCGACCAAAGACTAAGTGTGGGGGAATTTGATAAGTGCATAATATACCATATTTTTAGTCCCTAATATTAGTCCTACAATTGCTTTTTATTAGTTATTTTATAAAATTATCCCTTTAATAATTTTACTTCTTAGTTTATGTTAGTATTTTATTTTATAGCTGTTTTTTTTAATAATAATTGGTACTTAATATCAAGTTGTGTGTTTTTGGTACGAAAGCAAGAGGAAAAGAAAGTGGAGTATGAAGTGGATTTGGCTAATGTAGAACATCAAAGAAGGCCCAAATTGTGTGGTTATCTAATCACATTCACGTGCCATCATCATCAAAGGAAAACAAAACAAAATAAAAAGAAGAAAAGGGGAAAAGGGTGCGTGAAAACCAAAGCTCAAAACATCTCTCAACACCATGTTTATCTTCATCAAGCTCAAAATCCTTCAACACATCCGAAATTCAAGGAAAGTAATTAATTCTTATCCTATTTCAAAAGTTTTTCATCCCGAACCCAAAAATCGATGGTATTTTTTGGCTATAAAACCCCCAAAAAAAAAATCATCTCAAAAATACATACAACCTAGCCGAAATATACCGAACCAAAAAATCATCCCGAACCCAAAAATCGGTGGCTGTTTTTGGCTATAAAGGAAAGTGAGTTTGTGAATTGGGCAATTGGTGAAGAGAAGATAGCCGTTGGAGGGAAGCTCAGTCTTGAATCCAAGGTAGAACAAGAACGATGATGAATTTGGGGTCGAAGCCGGGTTTATTCGACAATTCTTTGGAGTATAATTCACAAGTCTTCTTCTTAACTTTATTGTTCATATTACTTCTTGTTTAAATTATTTTTATAATTTGATGAAAAACTTGATGGGATTATTGGTATTATATTTGATTTTAATTTAAGTCATTTTTCTGTTTTGTTTAATTATTATTTGAACTTGCTTGTAATTCATTGATTAAATTAAGATTATACATGTTACTAGTGTGTGTATGGTTGTTAATTATTGTTATCTATATGGTTTGTCTTAGTTTAAATCATATAGTCAAGTGACACCTAATTTATATGAGATCTGCGATTATGGTTTTATTTAGATTAGAGAGTAAGTTCAATCTAATTATTTTAGGCATTTAGGTGATTAGAATAATTAGGACTAATGATGTCTCCTAGGTTATAATGCTTCCACCTATAAATTGTATGCGTTGCGATCATATTTTTATAAGTTAGAATGGTTTAGAGTCAATTTGGCTTAGTTCGTAATTGACTAAAATTAAGGGATGATAGGGAGTCATTGTTATCTTAGGCTCTACAGTTCGTCTAGTAATTATAATTGGTGGTACTTAAGGTGAATTGTACGTTATTGCCAATAAACTAAATCAAGTAAGAGCTATTCAATGGAACGGTTAGTTGTGTCGTCAATAGTAGTTTATTAGTTTAGTTCTGTATTAGTTTTATTAGTTTAGTATTATCTTAAACAAACACCCCCATTTTATGTACATATGTGAATAAATGTGTAGTATGTAAATTTCCGTAATATATTGTAATTTAGTTAAACGTTGATTTAAGAGTTAAAAGTCTCCTCGTGGGATCGACCCTTGCTTACCCTTTTACTAGTTGTTAATATTTTTGAAGGTTAAGTTAGAAAAATAAATATTTAATTTTATACGGTAAACGACATGTATCAGTAGCCAAACAAATGCCACCGGGTCAAGTGAACAATCCCCCGAAATCCCAAACACCCAAATTCCAAACACATTAGTTTGGTGCACCGAAGAGGAACTTGCCAATAGCAATCGAAAGAGTAATGTTTGGAGATTTTTTCTATTAAGTAGAGATTGAACCAAAGCCAAGTGTATGACATGTAACCGAGTTTACTCGGTTGAAACCAAGGGAGAGACGGGACACCTTAGTAGACATGTAAAAAAATGTGGTGGTCCATCTAGTGATCCAACTCAACCCAAAATTTCTCAATTCCAGCCACAAGGTTTCACTTACAATTATGAGAGGGATAGAAATGAACTTGGGAGAATGTTAGTACATGCCGAACAACCTTTTCTTTTTGCCGAAAATGATCCCTTCAACAATTACATTAACTGAGCACTACAACCCCAACACAAAAAAATCTCTAGAAAAATTGTTCGTTTGGTTGCCATGAAATCTTTTCTAGAGTACAAAATGAAGTTACATGATGAATTAAGTAATCTTAATTGTAGAGTTTCTTTGACTGTTGATGCATGGGATAGTGTTTACGGATATCACTATTTGTGTGTGACTTGTCATTGGTTGGATAGTGATTGGTTATTACAAAAACGCATAATTCATTTTAAAATGCTTGAATACCACCACACCGGTCTTAATATTGCTCATCATTTAATGCAAGCTATTGATGCAAATAATCTTAGGTGCAAAATCATGTCTATGACTTTTGATAATGCAACTTTTATCACATTTTGTGCAAATTTAGTTAAAGCACAATTGACCGACTTCATATTAGATGGAGATACACTTCATATTAAATGCATTTGTCATGTTCTTAACTTGTGTGTGAAGGATGGAACACAAGCAATTGGTCCATTTTATCACAAAATTAGAAATGCTATTTTGTCTATTAACAGTTCTAACATAAGATTTCAAGAATGGAACGCTTTTTGCAGGCGACAAAGGATAAAGGTTATTAAAATATTAACGGATTGCGTAACTAGGCGGAACTCCACTTATGAAATGTTGAGTAGGGTAATCGAGTACAAGGGTCCATTGACAATTTTTTATAATAAAAAATTTCCACAATTTGCTTTACTAGATGATGATTGGTCTAATTGTGAAAAATATATGCAGTTTTTACAATTATTGTATAGTATGACACATTGTTTTTCTTCTGTTTATAATCCTTGTGCTCGTTCTTTTCTTAGTAATGCATGTTTACTTGCACAACTTTTCGATGAACACCGATCACAACACGATTATATTGGATATCTTCCATCAATGGAGGTAAAATGGCATAAATATTACACTACTATTCCTATGATTTATATATTTTTTTCTATATTAAACCCTAGGCAAAAGTATGATGGCACATTTTTGTTAATTGATATTTATTTTCAATGCATGAATATTGAAGATGATGTTGATTCTTATAAAAGTAATGTAACTGATCAATTTTTTCTTTATATAGAGTGTATGAATCTAAATATGGAACCGTGACTCGATTTGCTCCTTCTCAATCATCCAAAAATGTAAGTAAAAGGGCCAAAGGTTTATTTGCACAAG